TTATAAAGTGAAGAAGAGGAGTTTCTATTGAATGCTGAATGTCATGTAACTTTTGTTTTCATTTTAAAACGTTCGTAGTGAATTCAGAGCTCCATTGACATTTAAGCTAATTCATTTGAAATGACTCATTTTGAAACGATAGTTTTGTGAAAAATGTTAACGAAAAATCGTGTGATATTAGTTATTAATCTGTGCCACTACGTTATTTATCGGAGTGACTATTCATGTACAAACGTCAAGTAGGCTGAAAAAATGTGTTTCATTTCGAAAACAAATAGTCGTATTAGTTGTTTTTCTACTCAAATATGTAGGTACTTTGAGGCAAACATCAAAGCGATGGAGGGAAAGATAACAAGACGTACTTCGTATTCTAATTTATGCAGTTTCAGTTTAATCACTGAATAAATTTAACGATGATCTTTGAACTCATAGTTAAATTCTCATGTTAAATAAACAGTTTTGAGTGACTATTTTTTATGAAATGTATTTTGTTAGATTGTAATGATACGTGTTAGAATGGTTAAGCAATAAATGGCATTACTGCGTTTATATTCAGACTTATTTTCCTTCATATTCATTCCAGTTCAATAACTAGAGAGTAAATAATCATTTATGATTTCACAGATGACAACCACGAGCATACTGAGGGAGTGGATATCATTATGTAACCTACAGCATCCAAAGCTCTCGTTCGGTGAAAAACAAGCTTATGTAGGAGCATGACAGCAAGATTCAAATCAGAAGGAAGGAAAGTTATAATTCTCCAATACGGGGTGCCTACAAACAACGCAGAACATGAAAGGAAGCAAGAATTCTACAGACAGCTTCGAAAATTATTGAACAATACTCCAAATATGATAAAGGCTATTGTGCGTCGGTGGCACAGTGGTTAGGACACTCGCCGACCATGCACATGGCCCCGGGTTCGAGCCCTCGCCGACGCACACCTGATATCTATGGTCGGCCTGCGAATTTTGGGCTACCGATATTCACGCTGAAAATTCCATACTTGTACCAAAAAATACGGTGTGGAATCAAGCTGTAATCAAAAATAAAAAATAAATAAATAAATGAACTGGGGTCAGAAGTTACAGGGAGAGAATTTATCCTGGATAGAGACATTCTCCCTCGTCGAAATGAATGAGAAGTGAGAACTCTTACAGAATTTGCGTCTCCCATAATTTAGTGATTGGAGGCAGCGTGTACCAGCACAAGGATTTACACAAAGCAACATGGACTTCACTTCACAGGCACACCAAAAGCCAGATAGACCTCATCTCAGCCTCACGAAAGTGGAGACATAGGCTACTAAGCACGAAATCAAGATAACGAGCAGACGGGGGCTTAGACCACCATCTTGCTCAAGGACGTTTCCTGGTCAAGTCGAAAACCTTCAGAACTGTCAAAGACAGACCACTGGAATTCAAGTCCAACAGTCAGAAACTGAAAGATCAAACTACAAAAGACATCAGTGCACCCAGAAGAGTGAGGTTTGAGACACTCTGTAGCATCACAGAGGAAACTCTGTGGAAGAACAATGGAACACTCTGAATGACATTGTAGGAAAGGCGTAGGAAAAAGTAGAGGAAAGACAAGAAATAGCCTTCGACGGATGCCCGAAATCTAAAGGAGGAGAGAGGGATGGTAAAATGAATGATGAAGCAATACAAACTGCAACAACTGGAGAAGAAGCTGTCTTCAGAACATATCTCACTTCAGACAGTTCTACGACACACTGAAAACTGAAGCATAACAGGCTGCAGGTCACAGACACTTTGAAGAGACTTCAGCATACATCTCGACGCCACAACTGCAAAATGTTGCACGATGTGACGTAACTGTCAATGACTTAGCACAATTATGATGGAACGCTCCCGCCAAATGCAAAATGATGTTACAGGACTGGACTACATCGACGCCTAGTTTAAAAATAGGAAGTGAAGTGGTAGAGCACGTTGACCGCTTCACTTATTTGGGAAGTACCATCAGCCCCAACGGGCTGATCTCTGACGAAATCTCAGCACGAATACAAGGGGCTCGTTTCGTATTTGTTAGTTTACGCCGACTCTGGCGTAGACGAGATGTTCGACTATCGACCAAAGGGCGGGTGTACTGCTCATCAGTCCGCTCCGTCCTCCTTTATGGTTGTGAGACCTGGCCACTGAGAGTGGAAGACATAAAAAGACTAGCTGTCTTTGATCATAGGTGCCTGCGTTCTATTTCCCGTGTAAAGTGGCATAATAAGGTGAGCAACATGGAGGTTAGGCGTAGAGTTCTAGGTAAACAGGGGAAATCAATCGACGAAGTCGTGAAGCTACAAAGACTGAGATGGTTAGGACATGTGTTACGTATGCCAAGCCATCGCCTCCCTCGACGAGCAATGTTAGCGGATATAGGGTCAGGCTGGAAAAAAGCTAGCGGCGGTCAAACAAAAACTTGGCATCAGTCAATGAAATCCACAACAGTTGGTCTAAGCCACGTAGAAAGGTGTAGACTTCCAGGCTGGGGTCCTCGGGACGGTAAAAATCTATGGTTGGAAACAATTGGTGACATGGCTCAAAATCGTTCTCAGTGGCGCAGATGCATCCACTCCTTGTGACTTTTGATCTTCAATGAAACTGTTTTGTATTTCTTTATTACTCCTTTGTCTCACACCTCTGCTCACTGTTTCTACTATGCTTTTCTTGTACTTTCTTCTCTTGCTTCGCGTGCTACACGGAATGTGGCGACTTGAACTTCCGCACATTTGTGCAAAGTTCTATGTCGAAAACAGACAGACAGACAGACCTGTTTGTAAGTAATCTTGAAAGTGTTATGTAAATTTAGAATAATCCTTAAAATAATTATCGAACAATAATGAAGTTCAGTAGCACTTCGGTAAAATATGACTATATATATATATGAACTGTCAATGACAGACCACTAGAATACAAGTCAAACAGTCAGAAACTGAAAGACCATAATACAAAAGACATCAGTGCACCAAGAAGAGTGAAGTCTGAGACACTCTGTAGCATCACAGAGGCAGCGTCTGTGCAAGAGCAGTGTAACACACTTTAAATAACATTGTAGGAAGGCTTTCAAGATGGCGTGGGGAAAAGTAGAGGAAAACAAGAAATAGCTTTCGACCGATGCCTGGAAGCTAACGAAGGAGAGGGAAGTGGTAATGTGGATGTTGAAGCAGTGCAAACTGCAACAACTGAAGAAGAAGCTGGCTTCAGAACATAACGCACTCCATAAAGAAGTGAAGAAGTGATATAAGACAGTTCTACAACACTCTGAAAACTGAAGCATAACAAGCTGTAGGTCACAGAGACTTTGAAGAGACTTCAGCATACATCTCGACGCCACAACTGCAAAATGTTGCACGATGTGACGTAACTGTCAATGACTTAGCACAATTATGATGGAACCTGTTTGTAAGTAATCTTGAAAGTGTTATGTAAATTTAGAATAATCCTTAAAATAATTATCGAACAATAATGAAGTTCAGTAGCACTTCGGTAAAATATGACTACCTTCTTGAAGCTACAATTAGATGTATTCAAGAACATCAAATTCGTGCTTCAGTAACTTCAGCGTTCTTGTTGTATACGAAGTAAGAAAGGTATCATTACGTAATAGTTGTGTGAAAAATCTTACGGACACTGTAAGGTGAAAAGATATTCAAATTTCAAAAAAATGGATGAAGGTTTGTAGTGTATTACATGCCTTTGAAACTGTACTCGAATAAGCTCGTAAAAATGCAGCTGGAGATGTAGTTGTTAATCTGAGTGATTGCTTGGTCTCACTGAAATTCTTCGCGAAGTTTATGACGCTCGAGTGTGTTGAAGAAGATGAAGATAATATTTTCAGCCCTTGAAATGGGAAAGACATTGTGAGGAACTACCTTCAAGCTCGCATGAACTAGGTATTTCACACAAAATCATGCTATAGGGAACTCACAAGACAACTGCTGTGTTGGATTATGTAACACGAAGATATTAGTATTCTTTATGTGTTATATGAAACTGATTCGTGCAATAACAGTTAAGTGCGAATTTATAAGCACGTCGCACACAAAGTCTCTCCTGTTATGCCAGCACCGAAGTATATAATACAGGTGGTCTTCATAATAGCCACTCACATACTTATGTTCAGAAAATGTCTTCACATTCAGGAGTCCCACCTTCCAGTACTAACAAGTCTCGTAGATGGAAGACACCTGGTATGGAAACCGGGCACACACTCGCACAAACCAATACGAAATACTGTTATACAGTTTCACTGTAGACGAATACCTGTCCACATTTCGTCGAGTGATGGTTTCTTAGGCAGTGGTTAACAGTTGTTCAATAAAGTTTATAAATTTTTGAAAAAGATATTGGTAGATGTTGAATCTGAAGACACTATCTAAAGCTTGTTAGAATTTAATTAGTGAATGATCACTAGCAGTGGAATCCAGGATAACGCGCATTTTGTCCTATATGGGACTCGTCATCTGGATTTACCTGCATTCCTTAGTGGGTGATGATGTCCCCGCGCCGAAGCATTATCCAATAAACCACTTTAGCCACGAGAGCCACCCCTTGTGCAACGGGGTATATTAATTAAATTTAAGATTTTTCCATCTATTGATTGGACCAAAGTGCTCACTCTCAGGTTGACGTGTCGACTTCTTGAGCAGATGCTTCGACGATGTCTGGGCATACAATTAGAGGTTAATTGGTGGATGATGGTTATATGACCCGTTGTACAAGAGGTGGCTCTCGTGGTCCGAGTGTTCTAGTGGATAACGCTCTGTTGTTTGCAGCTATGGGCACTGGGTTTGAGCGTCAGTGGGAACATCATCACTCATTGGGAAATGCAGGTACATCCAGTGATGAGTCCCAAATAGGACAAATAGAATGCGCATCCAGAATTCCACTGCTAGTCGCCACCCACCAATTAACTTGTAATTACATGCCCAGAATCGACGAAGCATCTGCACAAAAAGCCGACATATCAACCTGAGACCGAGCACTTCGGTTCAATCAATCGGCGGGAAAATCTTAAATTCAATTAAATATCTAAAGCTTCATCTTGTCTGGTCTGGTTGACAGTGGACACTTAACGACCGAAAGGAAAGATGCCATGCTGAATAGGTGTAGCGTGTTGAATCTTTCCGGTGGTATTCGTATTTGTCTCCTGTGTGTAGCCAAAACCATGATTCTATAATATCTGGGTGAATAAAGTTCAAATAGACACATCCTCCTCTTTGACAGGAGCAGAATCAACTAATTATATCACCAGTTATGTATTTTCGATCCTCGTCAGACAGTTTCTTGTATTCCTTCCTCATTATAACATTCTCTCATTGGGTTCCGAGTGCGAAATATAGCTTCTCTTAACACCTCCATAATTTCCTTTTCTCTTTGGTCATTTTTAGGTGGCCTCACATTTTACTACCTCTTAGACCATCTAACTCCTCTAATCTACTACGATTGAATTAGTTGCCTATATATACATATATATACGCTTTTCCCCTATTGCTGTAGTAACACACTTCACTGTTGAAAAATTTAGCTGATATTTTAAGTATTGTGACTAAATAGAAATTTCCTGGTGATGTGAAGTTGCTGTAGCAGCCGGATTGATTTTCTGCTATAGGGTTAATAGCCTCACGTGCAAGCGTACCTCTTTTTTTGAGCTTAGGAATAGGTAGTGAACTAGTGAACCAGTAAACAGGCTTTAGACTTTCATCCGCATCTACTTTCGCTTTCTTGATAATGAAGATCACATGACTGGCTAGAGAGGATAGGCAACAACGAACCACAGCAGAGCAGTGAACCAACCAACCAACAACCTATAGCCCAAAAAAATCTATAGAGAAGAAAAAGAACGTAGGTTTCCTAAACACTAAATAACATTATATGTCACGCCTTCGAGTGAAACTCGAGTGTGAAGTGGCAAGTTTGGCATTTGTGTAGTGGAGGAGGTCATGTGAGGAGTGGATGAAAGGTCATGAACAGTTGTTGAGCCAACTGCAAAAGGAAGCAAAGAACTCAGTGAAATGGCGTTTATTTCTCCAGCCCTACTTTCCACACAGAATCCAAAAAAATAACGATGAATGCACAATTTGTGTGCACAGTCTATTCATCCTGTTGATAAATCACAATGTTTTATAATTAATATTTAATATGCAAAAGCACCACATACATTCCCTCGTCCTACCGTGGCCAGCGTAACGTTTTCCCTACAATTTCTTTTCTTTTCATTATGTAAGTTTACTTATTATTATTATTATTCCCACCACCCATATTTTATTGCCACTATATTACTATTTATTAATAAAATGGTGTTTTCATACAGAATTTATATAAAAACACTTTATCGTTTTTCCAATAGTTCTTATTCATTGTACACAAGTATACTGGTTAGTCATTGTCTCACATTTTTTTACTGCATGCCACCTTCTGCCCTCTTTTCTAGTTTCCAATTAGTCATCCCTTCTAGAATACACCCATGAATTGATGTCATGTTTTTGTTCAGCCAACCAACCACCCTTTTGCAACCTAACCTCCTAAATGTCAGCTAAAATTGCTAGTCGAGAAAGGCAATGGCTTGGCATGCGCAACACGTGTTCTAGCGATCACAAACCATATAGTTTCCATTCGAATTGAGATTGAGATGACTACGATATATGTTACGCATACTGTGACATCGTCTCCCTTGACAGGAAATGTTAGCCGACATAGGATTAGATTGAAAAAGAGTTAGGGGTGGTCGAACCAAAACCTGGCATCACTTCATGAATTTTATGAGCTTATGGTTTCAGACAGTCACATAGAAAGATGGAGGCTGTTTGACTGTTGTCCCCGCGATCCTACGATGGGGTTCCCAGTGGAGCAGATGCATTCACTCTTTATGATCTCTCCGATGTCCACTAGATCGTCAATCTTTCCCAAGTTAGTACTATTCTTTCCCCGTCATATTTCTGCTTACTATCGTCTTCTGAACTTCTTTTTTTCTACCTTTGTGGCCTACATGGAGTGTGGCAACTTGAAGTGACTTACTTATGTACTACGTTCTATATTATGAGGTCAGTCGGCCGTCAGTCAGTCTTTAACCAGCTAGTACTCTACAGATAATGCTAATATTACTCACTGAAGACTGTAAAAGTGAGATGAAAATCTAGGTTGACGTAGGATTCAGGAACCAGCGATCTCCGAATCACTAGGGTGAGTCGAATCCATCAGCTGGGAATTCACGCTATTTATCTAGTCATACATATACATACATATAATGGTCTACGAGCTCACCTTGTGACCAGAAAGTCCTGGGTTCGGATCCCAGTAGGTGCGTACTGATGAATAGTCCCACACTAGGTTGACGAAACAGCTGACCAGTTTTCCAATGGTTCTCTAACAGAAGTCAGCTCATGATGAAATCCTCCAACCAATCAAATATAAATTCCTACAAAATCAATACTTTAAAATACATATAACTAGGTATGATAACGTTCAGAAACAGACACACACATACACAACCAAATGAACACTAAACAACTGGATCAACTCCATCCATTTATTCATTCATTTAAAAGGAATAACAGATCACTCTGATCACAAAAATAGTTTAATCTGTTCTCTTAGTATGACAACAAAAAAGGGCAATAAGGAAATAATAATAATAATAACCAGGAAATGGAATAAAACCATTTGTGTTGTACATCTCCCTCTCTCTTATATATACACACACAAAATAAAATGCAAATGTTAACAACAATAATAAATGCTGGTTTAAAATGAGCTACAATAGCCCAAAGAAGTTTTAGTACTATAACCGGGTTGATTGATTGATTGATTGATGAAGAATAATCCTGTAAAACAAATAATAAAACAATGCTAACAGAGATTTACAAATAATGGCGTGATAAGAATGCTTCTAAAATTTGTGTTATACTTGAAAGCTAGCGGAGGTCAAACAAAAACTTGGCTGCACCAGTCAATGAAATCTACAACAGTTAGTTTAAGTCAGTCACGTAGGAAGGTATAGACTTCTTGGTTGGGGTCCTCGCGACGATAAAAACCAATGGTTGGAAACAATTGGTGACATGGCTCAAAATCGTTCTCAATGGCTGGTGCAGATGCATCTACTCCTTGTGACTTATGATTTCCAATGAAACTCTATTGTTCTTCGTTATTCCCCTATTCCTTTGTCTCACATCTCTGTTTACTGTTTCTATTATGCATCTCTTCTACTTTCTTCTCTTGCTTTGTATGCGGGGTGAAGTGTGGCGACTCGAACTGCCGCAGATCGATGCAAAGTTCTATGTCGAAAACAGACACACTGACTGATTTCAGTTTCGTCGAAGTTAGGCAGTGTGTTCAGCAATATAAAAAGATTGACTACTTGGTTTCAAGATAAGCTGTACTTCTGTAGCTCTATATTAGACCATTTATTTGTAGGAGATCAGTAGGAAGCCTTCGCTTTGTGGTTTCTCACTTGTTAAAGACTCTTCAGCAAGGTGTACGCATGTGTGTTTGAAATCTCGAAGGAAATGGCGTCTTGTCGGTGAAGGTGTAGCTCACTACTAACTCAAGAACTCAACCTTTAGGCAATGGGATTAGAGCCTGGGACATACACACACCAACACACACAAACTCACCAGCTGCTTCTATGGCCCAAAAAGAACAACAAACTGATATTTCCATACACGTGGACAAGTAAATTATGTCGCCTAGATTATCCAATAACATCGCAAACCAGACAATGCCTAGAGTGGAATCCCAATGAGAAGCGACGAGTGGGTCGTCCTGTCTGTCTGTTTTCAACATAGAACTTTGCACAAATGTGCGGCAGTTCAAGTCGCCACACTTCATGTAATAATAATAAAGTAATAAAGAACGATATAGTTTCATTGGAAATCATAGGTCACAAGGAGTGGATGCATCTGCATCAGCCATTGAGAACGATTTTGAGCCATGTCACCAATTGTTTCCAACCATTGGTTTTTACCGTCGCGAGGACCCCAACCAAGAAGTCTATACCTTCCCACGTGACTGACTTAAACTAACTGTTGTAGATTTCATTGACTGGTGCAGCCATGTTTTGGTGTGACCGCCGCTAGCTCTTTTCCAGCTTGACCGTATATCAGCTAACATTGCCCGTTGTCGAGGATGGCGATGACTAGGCATGCATGCGTAACACATGTCCTAAACATCTCAGTCGATCTAGCTTCGCAGACTTGTCGATTGATTACCTCTCCTTACCTGGTACTCGATGCCTAACCTCAATACTGTTCACCTTATTATACCACTTCACACAGTTACAGAGCGCAGGCACCTATGATCAAAGACAGCCAGTCTTTTCATGTATTCCTCTCTCAATGGCCAGGTCTCACAGCCATAAAGGAGGACGGAGCGGACTGATGAGCAGTACACCCGCCCTTTGGTCGATGGCCAGTCGGATATCACGTCTGAGCCATAGACGGCGTAAACTGGCATATGAGAAACTAGCCTTCTGTATACGTGCTGAGATTTCGTCAGGTCGTCCTAGGGTGACATAGAGAAGATCGTGTGTAGAAGAGATGAGAGCGTTTGGTCAATCGTCGACCCAGCTGAAGAGGACGGTAGAAAACAGAACGAAGTGGAGATGTGTTGTTGAAGCCCCATGTTCCACTCTGAACTCGAAGGAAGAGTAATAATATAATAATAATATGTAATTGTATATCCCGATGAGGAGTTACCAAAATTGTGTTCTATAATTATTACGTAATGGAAATATTTGAATTATCTTGCATTTCTTTTGAACTCATACGTATGGTGAAACTTTCCCCCATTCGTTTCCGTGTGCATATTGATTACAAATCATTCATTAAATTAACCGCCTTGCTGTGTAACTTCTAACATATTATGTCAATTGTCCAAAACGAAAAAGAGCATGAACCTAGCGCTGCTTCAGGATACTATGTGCAGTACATCGACTCTTAAAAGAACAGAAAAAAAGATTCGAGGTGATTCGAGGATTGTTTATTTCTTCACCCTGACTGACAATGAACCAAGAGTACACGGTTACTACTACAGCATAAAGTTTTTGATCGCTTCCCTTCAGTATTCTGCCAAATAGCGTACGACTGACTGACTAGGCCACAGTTGCCATTATTGCCTCCAGCGAAAATGAAGATCCGTTCGAATAAACAAACCATATATATTGCTTATTCAATGTTCCCTACCTATTCAACCTCTCTTAAGTGTTGATGAATATTATCAGCAACTGTGGTTATCACAAATCATCCTCTAGTGTTACTATCTTCTTTTATGAAAGAAGGCTGAATATATAAATGCTACTGCACAACTAAAGAATATTTGTAACGACAGAAGACAAGGGTCAGGCGACAGATCGTTAATCGAGAAAATCAACAGATATTTATAGATTTTTGCGTACATTATTATTAGCCTTATTATCGGCAGAATAGCAACGTCTTCCGATTGGTTTTTCTTGCTGAAAGTTATTATGTACTCCTTGTGACCGGTGCTTACAAAGTTATCCATTTATCTGCGAATTGTATCCGACCACGCAAAGTCTGCTGTGATTGGTTATTGAGTTCCTCAAGATTAGGCTCTGTTCCTGTTTGTTCTTATGACCTCGATTCGGGACGTAAACATTGACGTCAACTGTTGTCTACAAATTTGTCTTGCAGGCAGCTCTCTCCACAGATTAATTCTTCGGAAAGAACTCTCCCCCATACCCCGGCCTTTGTGTGAACAGTACTTTGTTTCGATATCCACATTCTCATTTATCAGATTGTTTATTTTCCCTTTCTATTCCTTTGCGTTCCGCCGAGTGGAACACACAAATTCAAGCTTCAGGCTTTGTAATTTCATCAGTAGCAAAGATGTTTTTTAAGAGACGGAGGTGGAGGGGGTAGCCAGTCTCACGCCTGGCCTTCACTCTTTACCTAGTTCACTCCCAAAAGCTAGACAAGGTTTAGGAGTATGCGTCTGCTGGTGACCCGTAATCGAGCCCCAGGCCACCTGAGTGGTGTTGACGAGTATTTTACTACTACTGAAAGACTGACTGACTGGTTGCAACACAGAAATTTTCACTGATGTACACCAGTTCAAGTTGCCACACTGTGTACCACACAAAGCATGAGAAGAAGAAAGTAAAAGAAGTGCAAAATAGAGACAGGAAACAGACATATGAGGCAAAAAAATAGTAATATCGAAGAATATAGTTTTATTGGATATAAAAAGTCACAAGGGGTGGATGCATCTGCGCCAATCATTGAGAACAATTTTGAGCCATATCACCAATGGTCTGCAGCCTTCATTCGCCTTTACCGTCTCGAGGACCCCAACCAGCCAGGAAGTCCACACCTTCCCACGTGACTGGTTTAAACTAACTGATGTGGATTTGATATGTATCCATTTATATATAACATATATATATATATATATATGGTGGTCTCTCTTTCTGTTGCTCTCTTAGTCTGTGACCATTTCACTTTGATGAACCTGTCTCCTTTAACAATGTATATTCCACTTATATTATATATAATATGTGTGTTTGTTGACAGTCTGTCCTTGGTGATATATATCCACATAATATGTGTGTTTGTTGACATGTCTGCTATATTTTGCTATGCATATATAGATCGATACTCCATTATAATTAGCCAATCATGTTAAGACTGTCTATTGATTGTTCACACACTTGTTCGGACATTCATATACATATATTTTGCTCTCACACTCTTGTGTGACTTCGATTCTCCTTGTGTTTGGAAAATAGAAGTATCATCGCAAACCTAGTGGTCTTCTGATTTCCGTCTTTCTTGCGTCAGGACTATTAAATTCTCGACCAGTACATAACAATAATTTGGCGACGAGTACATAATAGGATTGGATTGACTAATGAAGCCATCTTTTCGTTTGACAACCACTACCTCGTTTCAAATCTTATCCATCCTATGTCAGCTAGCATTGCCTGTCGAGGAAGGCGATGGCAAAGAATGCGTGACACATGTCTTAACTATCTCAGTCGATGTAACTGAATGACTAACGTACATACACAGATATGTATAGGGGTGAAAAATCGATATACAACTCATTGGAGAAAAATTCTACTCACTGTATTCTCGAAGTTGACGGGATTTCATTCATTTCCTCCTTCTACGAAGTGAACGAGGTACAATTGATGAGCGTCGTCTTTTCTTTGCCACAGGAGTAGTCACAACTCTATGGAAAATGAGAACCAAAATCAAATTTTTTAAAAAAGAAATTGACTTATTTCAAAATTTGATCATCAGCCGAAATCAGTTAGAGATTTCTATATAATTGAAAGCTCGAGTGTATTAGATAACTGTTTTATTCTATTTTGTTTGGCACTCTCTATGAAGTAAGCCGGAGATCGAACTCATACGCATATATGACAGCGAGAAAGAAGGTTAGTATACTGATTTGTAAATATTTATACTGTTATATATCTATTTCTTGTGAGTACCTACCTTTGTGGTATTTTATATTTAAGAATAGAGTTCATGATGTTAACCCAAGAACCATTTTAAAAATTGCTTTACAATCGAGTCCGACCCCGGTGTATTCGTCATACTTGAAGTGGTATTTCGAGTACTAATCTAACAGTAGAAGACAACAGACTTGATAACGGGATGTTTATTTGGGATTTGATATACACACACATACACACATACATATATGGGGAAAGTGTGTGCGCCTTATATTAAAATCATTGTTTGTGTTACTTCTGCCTTTCGTATTTCGTTTCTCTGTCTTCTTTACACGTCTCCCCCCGCCCCACAACACAGGTTCATTCGCCATTTCTCAAGTCAACTCTATCTCTCCGCTATTAGGTGTTTTTTTCCGATGGACGTCTCTTTATATTATTATTATTGTTCCCTTGGGTTCCTAGTGGAACATAGGTCTTCAATTGCACGTCTTCACTTCCTTCTGTCTTCTACTATACTTTTCACTTGCATCCATGTTAGTCCATACTCTTTCAACTCCACTTCACACGATCTCCTCCATGTCACCCTTGCACTGAAGTCCTACTCGCCGCTTCCCTTTCGGTCTGGTTCCACTCGAGCAATGGCATGAACGCGCGCCATGTCACCCAGCGGCCTCCTCGGTGAGCGAGTATCCAATCCATCCATCTCCACTTTCTCCTGCATATTTCTTGGTTGGCGATTGGTTTGTTCTTGTTTTGTTTGTTCCCATAGTTTCCCATGGTTGGTGATTCTTTCCAGCCCGGCCATCTTCGAACCATTATGATCACCGATTGTGTCCAGGAGAATTGTTTGGATCGTTAAAGGCCTCAAATGAAGGTTAAAGATTCAGTAAGATCAACTTTTCCATAGTTTTTAGAAAAGGAGAGGTAACAGCAACAAGTCTAGATTTAAAACATGTTCTAGTAGATGACTTAAGTATAGGTACAATTTTATTGTTCTTCCAAACGGCTGGCAGGACATTTCTGGAAAAAGATTCATTAAATATGTCACTGAGAGGATAACAAAGGATATCTGCACATTTTTTAGGAATAACGCTAGGCACACCATCTGGAGCTAAGCTACAAGAAAGGTTCAGCGACTGGAGACATTTTAGAACATCATTTGTATTAAAACCAGGGAAGTAGGTTTCATTAACTCTTGTAACACTAGAAAGTTTGGCATTTGTGGGAGGATGTGTGAAAGACTTGTTTAGTGTATACACATCAAATGAATAAGGAATACTATTCATTTGCTTACCACTAGTAATTTCTTTGAAAAGTTTCCATATATGAAAAGCATTTTTACAAGATATAAACTTCTGGTTATAAACAGAATTCAACCTGTACATAAGGCAGCAGCGGTGCATCAAGTTTAGACACAGACGTACATTCCAATTTGTAAAATAAGTATACTCTCAAACTTCCGTACATAACAAATAATAGACAATACACAGTGAGTAGTCAGAGGACTAATCTAGTCAAACCAGGCACCCGATAGTTCAATGAAATGTTCGCCAACCACACAAACAGACGGTACGGATTCGACTCCCACCTCAAACACACTCCTAAACCTCGTCTATAATTAATTAACTAGCCAATGGTAAGGCCAGAATAAAGAGAGAAGGTTGACAGTAAGGCTACCACCTATCCCAACCTTAACACAGACACACTGTTGGGATATCTAGCAGAAAATAAAACCTGTTTTTAAAAAAAGAACAAAGTTAAAACAAAACTATGAAGAGATGATTATTACCTTTGAGAGGAAAGCGAGTTGACAGCCTGACATTTATTAATCTCCAGTTTGTTAGAAATTTTTGGTGTATCCTTGTCCACTGAATTGGATGCTGTTTGAAGCCATTGTATTGTGCCATTAAAGGATTTGCTGACACTACTTCTTGAAGAAGAAGAAGAAGAGACATCATTCATGTCAGGCGATAAAGTGACTGAATGCTTTCGACTTGATGACAGTGTAACTGAAGGTTTCGATTTTGGCGAAGTCTGACAGCCTATAGATCGTTGTGTACACGGTGAAGAAGGTGTACACTTTGACAGATGAGCAGACAACTGTTCTTCAAGAGTAGTGATCTTTCCCAACTGAAGTAAAAACGAAAACAAAAAAGTTGATATTACTAAAGATAACAATAATAATGATAATAGTGAAGAAAGCAAATGTTGAACCGAATGTAAACAAATAATCTACAAAACGAAGTTCTTTTACTACATTCTCTTAAAAACTTGGGAGGTGGTGATTCACTGTTGGAATATTCGCCAGTCTCACGCCGGTGTCCAGGTTCCACTTATAAACCTAGCCTAGTCTAGTTTGCAGTCCCGACAACAGCTAACCTTTCCATAATGGTCTACGAACTCGCCTTGTAAGCGGAAGGCCCTGGATTCGAATCCCGGTGGGTGTGTGCTGATGAAGAGCCACAAACTAGGACGAAACAGCCGTCCAATACTTCCATATTTTCCAATGATTCTCTAACTAATGTTAGCTCATGATGAAATTCTGTAACTAATCGAATCCCTGCAAATCAATACTTGAATAACAGCTAATTTCGCCATTCCGATACCAAAAACCAAATAACCAGTCAGAAAGGACGAACAAGCAACATGGGACTCTGGCAGTGAACCGAACCTATAAACAGAAGGCATTGTGAATGGAATGGACAGATTTGCAGGAAGTATCCTAGTGGTATCTGATATCAGAAATGCCGGCTGCATGAGCAACGCATACCCGGGTGTATAACGCTTCGAGACCTTTACCGATCAACTTACCCCTGTAATAAAATTTGGTCAGTGATTAGCTTCTACTTATTATCTCCCTTTTGAACCCCCCTTAACTCTCTTCTCATGCTTTGTGTGGTACATGGAATGTGGCAACTCCAATTGTTGCACTTCTGTGCAAATAGCTATATTGAAAACATACAGTCAGTCACTCTAATCTCTGGCATGAATTGTAATTCCACAAGTACAAGCATTTTAGTATAGGTTTGTAGGGATTTGGTTGATTGGTCACAGGATTTCATCATGAACTGACATTGGTTAGAGAACCATTGGAAAACAGCTGGGAGTACTGGACAGCTGTTTCGTCCTAGTTTGGGACTTTTCAGCAGTACACACTCACCGTGTGGGGTTCGAACCCAGGACCTACTGGTTACAAGGCGAGCTCATATACTATTAAACCACTGGGACCCGATCCAATGGCCCATGAATTCTAACTTCTCCCAATTCACGACATAGCGCATAGTACGAGCATTTGTCTAAATAACTTACAAAGTAATATTCGGTTTAGTAAAAAATCAATCATTCATTAGTTAGGATTCGGTGTGCAACAAAATGTTGTAGTGACTTGCGAATTGTATAAGCACTACATATCAGAATCCACACGAACTTATAACACTGATTTGGCTGAATTTCGAAGTAGAACCTTCTACACAAATGTACTAGTTCAAGTTCCCAAACTCCATGTAGCATACAAAGGGTTAGAGGAAAGAAACAAAACTATGAAAGGCAGAAAGGAATAGTAATATGGGAAAACATTAAGATTAAATGAATCTAGGAGTTTACATACAAGCTACGCACCTGCACTATAGACAACGGTTTTGAGCCATATTAATAACAGTCTGTAGCCACTTGTTGCTGGCATCTCAAGGATCCCAACCATACAGTCTACACCTCTGTATGTAGCTCAAACCAACTGTCAAGTACTCCACAGATTGATGACGGGTTTTGGTTTAACCACCCTATCATTCCTTTTCAATGTAAACTTACTTACTGAGGAAAGCAGTGATTTGGCATGAGTAACATGTGTCTTAGCCGTCTCAATCGATATGACTCCACAAACTCATTGACTGACTGACCGACTGACTGACTTTCCTTCGTCACCTAACACTCAACCTAACCCAAATATAACTCACCATAGTATACCAATGAACACGGGAGATAGAGCGCAAACAACTACCCTTCCCAAGTCTTCTACTTCCAATGACCATGTGTCACAACCACAAAAAGAGGTCAAGAAAGAACTCTACTGCACAGTACACACATCCTTTGATCAATAGCCAAATATCAAGTATACGTCAAGGATGACGTAATTTGGGAAACACCACTTATAAGAACAATACAATAGCAAACGTTGACAGTGATTGATATGTAGAAAAGCACAGACCGTCTGATAACTAAACGTGAACACAAAACAACCAAAAGAAAATAACATGAGTTGTAGACTTACTGCTGAATCTAACTGACGTTCTTGTTGTGTCACATAACGTGAAAGATACTTTAACCCAGTTGACAAAATCTTAACTTCCGCATTTACGCGCTCCATAAGGGTAACTGTATCTATAATTTATAGAAAGGACAAAAACATAACAATTCTATATGTAAGACAATATGTGCCAGTCGACAGATTTATGCACTGAATTCCCTAGTAATATATAAATATACATGTACAGGATAGTAATTTAATTTTTAAATTAAGACAGTGACTGACTGAGTGGTTTCAACGTAGCACTTTACACAGATGTACACTAGTTCGAGTCGCCACACTCCATGTAGTACACAAAGCAAGAGAAGAAAGTACGAGGAAATGCAAAATAGAGACAGGAAACAGAGAATTGAGGCAAAAAGAATAGTAATATCGAAGAACAATATAGTTTAATTGGGTATTATGTCACGAAGAATGGATACCTCTGTGCCATCACTAAGAATGATTTCGACCCATATCAACAATTATCTCCAGCCTTCATTGGTGTTAACCATCTTGAGGACCCCAAACAGGAAATCGACACCATCCTACGTGACTAGCTTAAACTAACTGTTGTGCATTTGATTGACTGATGAAGCTGTGTTTTGGTTTGACCACCACTAACCAGCTCTTTTCCAGCTTGATCAATCCTATGCCAGCTAACATAACCCGTCGAGGACGGCGATCGATGGTTAGGCACGCGTAACACATGTCCTAAGTATCTCAACAGGTGTAGCTTCACAGCCTCATCGATTGATTTCCCCTCCTTACCTAACACTCGACGCCTAACCTCAATATTGCTCACCCTAAGATAGTAGTGAATTACTTCACTAGATCATGTAATGCAAGGGAGACAGGTCCGAGTATATACTATTGACTGATTGATATCAGTAGTTGGAAACCAGTGACTTTAAGCCAAAGTGCTTGATAGTCGCATTGAAGCGATACATATCTGTCAGCAGATTCGAACCGGATACGCTTCTGATGAACTCCGTCCCAAAGGAACGGAACAGCTGTTCAGTGTCTAGATCTATCTAGCAAGCACTACTGTTTGACTTGATTGGTTTCCTAATACTCATATGAATCAATGAGGAATAGTAGCAGTAGTATCACGCTATTCAGCCTGCCATCTTGATTACCATTTATAGCATTACTCACTGACTAACATAGTCAGTTTTGAACGTAGAACTTTGAACGGGACTGCTGTAGTTTAAGTTGCCAAAGTCCATACAGAACACAAAGGTGAAGAAATAGAAAAAACATCAAATGAACCATAACGGCGAGAAATGAGTGTGAAAAAGAATAATTACATGGTGAATAATGAGGATTTAATGGATCTGATATGTTACAGAAAGGTAAATGCATCTGCACTATTGAAAACAGTTCTCATTATATCATTGATAGTCACTGGCCATTGGTTCTAATCATCTCAAGAATATCAACAAGTTCGTCTTCCCCTCCCTATGTGGCTCAGACCAACCACTTAAAATCCTCAGATGATGGTACCATGCTTTGGTTTAACTCTTGTAATTGAACCTGAAGTCAGCTAACATTGTTCATCAAGGTACGCGGTGGCTTGGCGTGAGTGCTACATGATAACTGAGGCGGCTACAACACGCGTGATCTGAACATTTTTGGTACCCGAAGAAAAATATCGTGACTTCTCACGTTGAACTGGACAATATGCAGGTGACGAATTTGATTCTAAACATAGGTTCAAACGTATAGTCACCTACGCAGAGACCGAGTTTGTAAACTGTGTTCAGAAGGAAATCCTGGTCTCTTCGTATCGACCATGATAGTACCTTCTACTGACTGAATATTACTGGTGTTAATATTTCATTCCATCTCATTATTATCCTTGATTCATCTAAACATACTTTTTGACAGTACCACTACCTTATTTGTTTGTTCATACAGAGTTTGAAGTTCCTGACAATCTTAATTTCTTTCTCTGATAACTGATTGTTTATTTAAGTGATGTAACTGTACCACAATGCACTACCTTTATTTTATTCTTGCATACCCCATATCCCCTATCCATTTGAACTTGATTTGCAAAACATTAGCACCTATCGCTTTCCATGACTGGTTTAGCGTAATTTATTTATTCAACAATCAGCGTACTACACACACTAATTTTATCGACATTTAACGAATTCATCAAATCCTCGCTAGATGACATTTATAGCACAATTTGCTGCCCTAACTATGTCAACAAGTATTCCCAGTATTTCATAACTTGTTTCATTGCAATTCTTTATATATCCCAAATGGTTGTTACATCATCCCTGTGTTCAAGTGTTTGGTAGTGACTCGATGATTTGAGGTAAAGTGATTAATCTCTCACTCTACTTAACTAAATGTGGTAACCGAGCGTTACTGCTTTTTATTCGTTGCTGCCTATGTTGGCTGCAATGCGCCAAAATATTCCCCATACCGAGGAGGCACACAAATGTCAGATTTAACCAAGATAAGTACGACAACAATAGCCTAATTATTCACAATACCGAGTATATACCCTTCACGAATCAACGGAAATTTTAACAATGAATAATCGATGTCCACTAGATCGCACCAATCATGAATTCACGCTAACAATCATCTGTTATCTATCCTAGCATTAGATTACTGTCTATTACTTTCAACCCATACCAGCTCGTCGTTTGATCACATGTATGTGAATGTATCACAAGGACTGGGCATTCTTCTAGACTAATTAACTAAGCAGGGTCAAACATTCCACCTCTAGCTTAATTCTTATGCTCCATAATTATAACTGACTCTAACCTACATATTGACCCAACTAGCATTTTCCTCCGTCTCACTGCAGTATTTTCGGGGGCAT